CGCTCGATGAACTCGGGATTTATCCGGTCTTTCACCCCCTGCCACCCTCTCCGCCCTCATCTTTTCCCGTTCTTCATTTATCTATCGGTCACTCCGGTCATCGACGTCCGAGGTACACCGTGCGAAATAAGCTGTCATTATATGACACTCTTCCGTTGCTATCCTCCCCTTATCCCATCGTCGTACGCCAACACCGTTCCCCAAGTCCTTTGTATACGAAGTGACAGAGACGGATCTCCCGGCGACGCGGCCTGGGACGATAGTTTCGGGTAAACAAACCACGATATATCCCAAAGAGAGTTCCTCGCCGTCAGATGGATGCACGTCGTCGACAAGCACGTCGAGAATAATTTGACGACTCTTATACACGTAGCGCTTGCGCTCGTCGGCCCCTTGAGAGTAATCCTTGCATCGTCACGACGCCGAAGTGTCGGCTGCAAAGAATTTGAGATTCGCGAAGCGACAATGAACGATCCCTGAGTGCCTATTTTCACGCGACTAATAATTAATTACTCGTGATCTGTTAGCTAAATTTAAATTTCAAAAATATAATTCTAGTCTTTCTTTAAGCAACTTCAGCGCAGATTTTGTCATAAAAAATTAACATTTTGACGTATCTTACTTTTTCGTAACTGTAACAATCTTCGTTTTTTTCGTTATTTCTTTATATATTATATAATTAAAATTTCAAAAATAAATAAACGCATTATAAGCATCAAATAAATAAATAAAATCAATTTTATTTCTTCCTCATATATTTTTATTCAAGTTTCGGGAAAATAGTCATTTATTGATTCTTCAGACGTCGTTAACCGGTTGAAGCTGAAAAGCTCAAGAGATTAATACTCGAGCTTATCAAATTACAAGTTGAGGCGTTTACATACATTGGTAAACGCGTTCCTCAACGGGAGAAAGTACGAATGAGAAATTCTATTTAGACACAGATTCATGAAATTCCACCGTCGAGACCCTCTTGTTATCTGGAGAACAGCGGTGATTTCAAGCGTCAAAGCGAGAAAATTAATTATTCCCTCTGACAATGATAGACGTTATTCTTGCATAAGACTTAATTTCGTTTTCGTGAATACGCGACTAAATGAAGATTGAGCGCGATTGCATTAAGTATTTCGTTAATCCTATTCTCGAATAGAACGCTGAACGGCGTCGTTAATTTGCACTCGGCTATACCATGAATTAGATTCTTCGTTCGTTTCGCGCGACTATTCGGCAAATTAACATTTTAGATCTTACTGTCAAGAATATTACTTGGTCCCCGTTGTCGGCAATTTGGGTATTTATCCTAAGGAATCTCGTCGTTGGCGTTGACAGCTTTTACCTGATGTTTTGCCACTATCTTCATTGCGAATTGGTAATCTCCTAATACGGAAACTTGATTGTCATTAAAAATACATTGATTAAAATCGTTTAAAAAATATTTATACAAAGTGACATTTTCTTATGTAAAATAAAATCGCATAAAGCGAAGCGCAAAAGCGAGGAACGTAACATCTCGCTATTATCCGTAAAGCGCTTGTATTAAGAGTGTAAAAGCTTGAAATTCCTGGCTGAAAAGACTGTATTTATTCATGGTAGTGAACTCGAACGACTGCAGGTCGAGAATAACAGTAATGGAAGCCCCTGCGGTATCGTACTAGCGATGCTGCGGAACAGAGAATATTGGGAATATTGTCCAGGTACGATACCGTGAAAAATTTTATATTTTCCGCTAAGATTTCTAGTCAGTACTACTGTTCAAAATATCGCTCGATTATTTTCAATCTCTACATTTTCTCTCTTTCTCTCTTTTTTCGTTAATTACTTTTCCCGTCTTTCGTTCTACGTTTGAATTTTCTCGGGAAAAAAAATACTCGTTGCAATCTATTATGCATCTGCTATAACGATGTCTATTATATTGCCGATACATGTATTTGAGGAATTATACCTTCCTCCCATATTAACAGAACGGCGAATATAATTTTCAAGCGCATAATTTACATGTCTATTTTCCGCGTTGCGTTCGCCTCGTTATATATTGATTGCGTCGTTCGCGTCGCGTTACATTCGTGTTGTGCGCGCATCGTAATATACATTGCATGCATGCTCACGTTGATGTTTCGACTATCGGAAAGTGCGTTTAACAGAGACGACGCGGGATCGGCGAAAACCTATTCGTAGAACAAAAGTAACCATGACGAAGGCCCTCAGGGCGTCGTATCCGCGACGCGACTTCGACAGCGGGAATATCGGGATATTGTTCGCAGCGCGATACCGTGAAATTTTACGGCGTGGTACCCGCCGAGAGCAGCCGCCGCGATCGTAGTAATTTTCTCGGAAAAATTTTTGACGCGCCAGTTACGCGCCAGTTACGCGCTCAAACTAAACGTGACCGAAGCAACTAATTACGTCCGCGTATTAAATCGACTTCTCCTTTTCTCTCTTTTTTTCTCTTTTCTTTATTTTACGTCAAAACGACGCAAAAAAACAGATTTCTTTTTCTCTCCGTCTGCAGATCGCGACTCATAACAAGTAGTCAATGCAGGACGTTTCCCAAACTGTTGGTGGTGTTGAAGTTACGCGGACGGAAAAAGAAAACTTTTTCAATGCAACAGCAGTCGTTTCTTGTCCATTTTTACGAGAAAATGGCGTAAGCTTGTAAAACTCGTATGGAATATAGATTTTGCGACCCGTCGTAAAGCGTAATCGTGCTTACGTAAAAGTGCAGCGTAACGTGACGATGTAGCAGGCGAATATCAGAGAGAGGAAAGGAAAGATAAAAAAAAATATAAGAGAATATCAGCAGATTCGATGTGAATAGTTGATTTTATACTGCCGCTGAAACTGATCGGAAAAATAGATATTTCAAAATTGGTATTATAACTTCTCTATTTATGCATTATGTAACCTATATATATATGTAACAAGAATTTGATATGAAAAAAGTTTATCTGTGAACTTTTTTATTTAATTTAAACATGATCATATCAAATGTCTTCATCGTTGATGAAGCAGTATGATCAAACCGGAAACTGCTGAAGGAACGTGATACTTTTCTCATTCTATGCAATATATAATATATATATATATACATACATATAAAAGTTTCATTAGTTCTTGCGTACGTTATCAACAATAATGGTATAAATAGCAGCCGACGTGATGCTGAAAGGTTTAATATTTCACTGATCGCATATCCCCCTTACGGCTGCAGGATATGAGCGAAGAAGCGTCGACCTAATAACGCAGTCGTTAGATAAAGTTGAAATATACGTTCGATGAAAGATCGAATGTACGGAAACCGGATATTTCATTTCGAAACTCGACGCCGCGATACGTCAACGCAGAATTGCCCTCACCCGTACTACTACCGAACTTCCGTTACAAATTTTACTCTTTCGCCTCATCCCCGGGTAAAGTAATTGGCTTCCCCCCTCCCTCTCTCTCTCTCTCTCTCTCTCTCTCTTTCTTCTTATAGATCCTTCTGATGTTACAGAGTTAAGTGTCTCGCGGATCTGCTTTCTTCCTTTTGCGAATAGAAGGAAAGTCCTGGTATTCGAGTTCATAAATTTCATCTCGCGCGCCGTCGAATTTCCCGACGAAAAAGATTTACGAGGAGTAGAAATGCCGGAGGAAAAGAAGGAAGACGACTGAGAAAAAGAGAGAGAGGCCTGTTTCCTCATAACCCGTTTCCTAATACTCCTTTAATTTCCCGTTTTCCACGGCCTACTTCGCGCGACTCGCTGCGATCTGACTAATTTGATTAAAGTAGTGTTTCCATCGCCGACAACGCTATCAACAACGTTCTAAAAGTGTCACCAGGAGGATCTCGTTTCAGTTTTCTCTTCTTTTTCCTCGTTTCTGTTGTTTTTCAATCATTGGCCGGTATTCATAGTCAGATCTTATATTTAAGACCGTCTTAAGTTCAACCATGAGGTGTCATGAACCAATCAGAGGGTCGCATTAGCGTCTTAAACATTACTTAAGACGATCTTGAAGTAAGAACCGACTATGAATACCGGCCATTGTGTCAAAGAACCTTCGTATGAGGAGTGTATCATCTCGTGTGGGAAGTCGATTAAATGCCATCTATTTGCATGGCAATGCATAATAATTAGGGACTAAACTAGGACGCGACAGATTGGTACGAGCAGCTTAGCCACCTGTCTATCGTTGCGCATCAACTGCAGTATGCAACCACAATCCTTCGTAATGCCGAAGCGTGCTACATCTCGCAGATGTTCCCTCCGCATATCTCGTATAAGGGGTGTAAATATGCGCCAGCCGCAAATTCTACCTTGTACCTCCGGATACGGATTTTCCGCGAATAATCGTTGATCACGATCGACCAATCTGTTGCGATATTAAATTTCAACTTGTTTTATTTCTTATCGTATTGCTCCTTAATTTATGATCGCCAACCTGTTTGTAAACCGTTGTTTAATAAAGATGTTTTCTACTTTTTCATAAATTATACTTTGCTTAAGACAAAGTCTACTACTCCTATAATTAAACGCTTTTATTTATAATAATACTATATCTATATATATTAAAAAGAAGCGTTAAAATAAAGAATTAAAACTTAGTAGAATTAAATTAAAATTAAAACACAATAATGCGATATTGTAATTACATATTTTTTGTGTGAAACAATTTGTTTGTGCAGTTACAGTTTTCAAGGTTCAACATTTTCATCTTCTTTGTGCTCAGACATATTCGGAGAAAAATTGTATCGTCTTAGCTCCGACCAAGATGCCACGGCACGTCACCAAACAGAAACTTTTATGTGATTGCAATTTTGAAATGCCACGATGCCCAATAATAGAATTGTATTTTTGTAGGAAGATATTGAAAATTGTAGTAGACACAGTGGCTTGACAAGATCAAATAATTGTATTTATAAAATTAAAGCGTGAATTTATGCGTAAATTTGAAATAAAATTGTGCACATAAGACTTGAAGTACAGTAATATTATAGAACAACTTGAACAGCGTCAAACATTTGTTTCGTAGATAACGTTGATCTGACATTTCATTTGGGACCAAAACTCTAAATTATTTTATCTATTATGTTTTAAATTAATAATCAAAGAGAAGTTACGGATGCTACAGCATGCGTCGTAAAACTCGACCTGACAAATGGCGTCGAAATAGAAAACTATATTTCGATATCAAGGAAGGTCAAAGTATGTAAGATGTTCGCAATAAGATTAACCTACAAGTTAACTATATTATCATTAATTATATATTATAATAGTATTTAATTAATTTACATGACTATTATAAATTTTGAGAAGCAGAAAATTCCTTAGCGAGAAAATAGTGCTCCACTTCAATTTTCCGTTGTCGACCACGCGATAATTATTCGCTGACAGAAGATAATTTAACGCGCGTTATTAAATGCGTTGCGACACGACGCGGAGAGCCTTGCTCTCACGTTTATTTCATCTCGGGCGCGATTCACTTCCCAAGCTACGAAAATCCATTACAATCTTTCTCGCCCGCGTCTCGTATCATACAATATACGGGGCGTCCTGGCTTCAAAGAACATACACCCCCATTCAGTCTGCTTCTCTCTTTCTCTCTTTCTCTCTTATATCCTGCTGCGATGCTTTGCGAGGTGAACGCGCAATATAATCTCGGTACATACAAGAATGGTATCTCGAAGCGCGTTTCGATCGTGCGAGTCGCTCGGGAGTGTTTGGTCGTTCCGAAAATTGCAGACGATGAGCTCGCGCGCCTGCACGCTCCATTGAGCCCGCATCGTTTCTGGTACGTTGTTCCGTTATCGAGTCGCAGAACACGTCAGAAATGCAACGTATTATTTCGAGAGAAGGTTGAGTGAAGACGGGCAAGATCGACAGGGGCGAGGCGGGTGGAAATCACGGTGGTAGGAACCTAAGGGGGATGAATGAGCAAAGGGGAGGAAAGGGAAGGCGAGAAGTGAAGTGGTCGTGCACTTTACGAAATGAGATACACCCACGTCGATAAAATGCGACCACACCTATATGTACCTGGGTATAGCGTTACGGATATACCGGCGGAATTAAGAACGGCGCCGCAAACTAACGGCAGGTTGGAAGTAAGAATCCGCTGACACGTTTAATCGTTCGCCGTGCATTTCGCTGAGAGAAATGCAATTCGCCATCGGTCGAGGCGCAAGTAATCGCAGGACCGTTTTATCGCTCAAGATTGCAGCACGTTGCCTAGCACGTAGCTAGGATTTATAGGCGTCCAAAAACTCCTTATCTTCCTTTGTTAGAATGATAAATTCTTCGGATAGCCCGAGACGTTGGATATACATCGAGACATGTTTGCGTTATATGAATCGCGATTGATGAGGAAAGAAAACATAAAAATGTTGAACGTGATAACGATCGTCTTTCGCATCGATTTCATCTTACGTCATATTATAATTAGTGTTTTAATTACGATGTATGAAAGAAAGGTTTTATTGACTATGTTTACACCCTTAATCGGGATTTAATAACATCTGTAGTTATAAAACTGGCCAATCACAGTTATTCCATTCTTCAGAAGAATAGCTATGATTCGTCAATTTTATAACTACGGATGTTATCAAGGGTGCTTTGTAAACGTAGTCATTGAAGTATCTAAAAATTTAATTGGACATGGATCTGAAAACAATTTTTTTGGACTATCAAAATAATTATGTAGAATGCTTAAGTTAGTTGTTAGAATATAAAAAATTTTTGCAGCATTATTCATGCTTGAGTTTCCTACATTGTTAAATTCATAATGTCAAATTGAGTTATTTTTAATCGTGTCTATAATCGCCACTGTTCCTACTCAATGTGTCGTTAATTTTTCAAACAGTAAAGTTAGACAATTTAACTTAAGACAATATAATTCCATTTGACTTTAGTTTATTAGGTATTTATTAAATGCGTACGTTCATATGGATGATGTTTACTTTGAAATTAATCACAGAAATGGATTGATTTACATTTTGACACAAATGAAAATTAAAAATAATAAAATGTTATTTAACTCAAGGGATTGGATTATTGTTGCTTCTTTAATATCTAACAGTGTAGATATGATTATTTTGATAGTTCAACAAAATTATTTTTAATTAAGAGAAATAAATTTATTTCTTCAATTAAGCAAATGAATTTATTTTTGGTCAAAGCAGATTTCAATGTTTAAATATTTCAGAGCGATAAATTCGAATCTCAGCTAAGGCAATATTTCACATAATAAATTAAATTATTTGTAGTTTTTAGGATATTTTAAGTTAGCCTTAAATTATAATATCCTTCTAATGTATTAAGATGTTTATTAGCGTCATAAATTTATTAAATTAGTTGTCAATTTAATATGTGTGATATTACTCTAATTCTGTTGATTACGTTTCGAGACCGAAAAAGATTTCGGTGCGTGATTTGCAAAATATGTATATAAATTCATCCTGAAATATTTAAGCATTAAGATCTGCTTTGACCGAAAATAGGTTTATTTCTCCTAATTGATTTATTCTTGCCGATCTGATATGAATTATGATTGTTAAAATTATTTTTAGATCTATATCTAGCTAAATTTTTATATATATCTCAGCAAAATCGTTTTTTTCCGCGTAATTAATAACGAAAGTATAGACAAAAATGCAGCTTACCTGCAGCGCATAATCACAGTTTTTAATCGTAACGCATCGTCAATATTTCAACGTCAGTAATCTAGTTGCATTGCACCAGCTCGCGTGTTACTTTTTGTATATGTTGCATTCGCTGTTTTTATTCAATTTTTTATCGGTCGTTATATCTTATTTCTTTACGAAGCGACGTGGTTGTATCAAACGTTGCGGTTTCGGCTTTGTGAGCGAACGAAGGTTTGCGAATTTTTATCCGTTCACGATTCTATGTAATCATCAATCGGAGCACAGCAAAGGTAGCGTCTCAAAACGTGTCCCCAATATCGATTTATCCACCGACGATTAAATCCCGATCGTATCTTCTCAGCGAAAAGGACTTCTCGTGTTCGTCCAGACACCTTCAGAAGCGCCGTGGCGTATGCTACACGCAAGTTGTAACAAACGATCCATATTTCATTGAGCGCTGAAAGGACCATTTTCTCGCGGGTCGCTAGCTTTCCTCTCCTCCCCCTCTACCCCTCAAGGGGTAAGCGCGCACCCTCGTGCAACCGATTTCTGCTTTTCTCTTCGCCCGTCTCGCAATTTTCCGTCCGTCGAATACGCTGCGCGGGGCGTTGAATGTGGATCGGTGGTGGAATACATCCACGTGGAAATAAAAAATGTATGCCAATACGCGCGGAGTGCGAAGCCGAAACCGTTGTCGATCAATCGTATCGCGATACCCTCCTCGCAATCAATCGCGAACGACTCGGTAGCGCAGATTCACGTTCCATCAAAATCTGTCTTTGTCGTTACATTAGAAACGCGAGTGGTTTTAAAAGAAGTGGTACATACTTCCTCGTACTAGTCGTTTTAAATTAATACATTAATTATCAAATTTCTTATCAATTTTAATCGATACGAATTCTCGTTTGTGCGTAAAGAATTATTATCTTCGCGCGAACTGTGAAATAGGATAAAATATATTTCATATTATATACTGATGAAATTATAAAACGTATTGATGATTCCTTCAATTTTGATGGATCGTGAGAACGACAGTGTTCATGCAAAGTACAATTATATTATAATAATTTTATAATCGACTACGAGAATATCGTACCAAATAATTTAAGGCGCACAATTCGATGTGTGGCAGATAATAATACTTCCTCTTTTTCTTCCTCTTCAGTAAGCTTTATCGCATTACTCTTTATCGGAAACGTCATATAAATCATACTAATTTTGGATAGCAGGTCAAACGTATGCCATATCCGGCAGAGCTCAGGCCGCTCTCTCGGCTGTCATCGAAAGCATGTTGGAGGAGTGCCTGCTAGACGCCAAAAACTTAGCTACGGTGGCTGGTAAAAGCTACGTCACCCCTGAAGAAATGGAGAAGGCATTAAGGAAGCTCTGCCTACGTTTAAACGCGCAGCCAAGCACGCCGAGTAAACAGAAAGTTAACACGCAGCAGCGCGAAGATCTGAACTGAGAGTTTCGCGAAATGTTCTCGAGGAGACGACGTCTTCACGATGCCAAACAATTCAAATGTCGAAAGACAGAGAGAGAGAGAGAGAGAGAGAGAGAGAGAGAGAGAGAGAGAGAGAGAGAGAGAGAAAGTTCTTGTGTTATCGTCTATATTGCTAATAAATGTCGAATTGTGCGAAAGTGCGAACCGTTCGCGAAGTGTCTAACTTTATTGTTACTCATTCATAATATTCACTGTGATATTTATTCATATCATCGCAATTCTGTGCTTAAGAAAATTAAGAAAATTATTACTTTGTGAAACGTGTAAAGAATAGTGGTAATTGTAAATAATTGAATTCTCGTTTAAATAAAAAGAATAAGAACACAGTAACTTAAAAAGTCGCAATTTTTCTCGCGTAAAAATACGAAAAGAATAATTTTGCTGAAGTATCTAAAACTTTAGATAAATACAGATCTAAAAATAATTTTGTTGCATTAGCAAAATAATTATGTAAGATGCTTAAATAATGCTGAACAATGTTGTAAATAATTTTAACATTTTAGCAACTACCTTGTATATGAGTGAAAAACGACATAATGGGTGCATTCAGTACCACGACCGCTCACTGAGCGCTCAGTGAGCCCTTGTATCTGTTTGGTCTATATTTTTAGTTCTAACGGAATATGCCAATCAGATGCAAGAGCTTACTAAGCGCTCAGTGAGTGGTTGTAGTACTGAATGCACCCATTCAATCATTTATTATATGGAAACAATGGTTTTGCTAACCTAAAAATTTAGTTAGATATTATAGATCTCAAAATAATTTTATACTCTAGTTCTATCCATAATTGAAAATTATATAAAATCACAAGAAATATTATTAGGCATGAAGAACCGCTTCGACCAAATGTCGTTTTTCACTCATGTGTTTAATCTCATCGGTCTATTTTCATTCAACTATCTTGACTTTTCTATATATAATTATTTTAATAATCTAACAAAATTAGTTTCCGATTTGTAGTTAACTAAATTTTTATATACTTCAACAAAACCATTGTTTCTGTGTAACAAAATGAAAAAAAATTATTGTTTTTTACGTAATTTTGATAACCTAAAACTATATCTTGGATATAATATTTATTGGAGAAACTATCGTGTTATCGAGAGGTTAATATCTCTCGCAACATGTGTCGTGATTGTTTAAAGTGTAACAAGCGTGTATCCATCAATAACAATTATTTGTTCCGCCTTTGACTTTGATTGAAATTCCTCTCATTTAATGTGACGAATCGCGTCACGAGGGCTCTTCTGTGTTCATCACGTTGAGAGCGGTCATCGTGACAATGGTCAAGCAGTTGTTGCGAATTTGCTGGCAATTCGTGCGACAAAGCGTTTCTCGCGTGACTGGAAAAAATCATTAAACGACGCGCGATAAACTAAAAATAATTCTGTTCGGTATTGTCGAGTGTTAATGAACGGGGATATACATTTTTTTTTGCAGTCGCGTATATTTTTCACGTCTCGTTGATCTTGCGGTCGTCTTATCGACAATGACAACTCATGCAAAAGGTGAAATTTTCTCGTCTGCTTAATGTAACAAAATATATCTCTCTATTTTCGGGGATTAAAACCCCATTGTAAATCTACGTGTAAATTCAAAAACAAAGGAATAATGATATCATATTATATTCATATTAACATGCTGCTTGAAATTTCGTGGAGAATACATACATATACATATATTTTAATTCGGCATCGTGTAACTTTCACTTGCATGATAATTGACAAGCTCTGCAAAACAAATGTAACAAATGAATGTTCCTTTTATATAATAATATTTTCTTTTTATATTATATTATATATAAAGGTCTTCAATAGGTCCATTCGCGTTGAAATCCTCAAAAATTTTTGCACAATGGGGTAAATATACATATAAAGTAAACATTTTTGCAGTGACCGGGCATATACTATGTCTGGATATTTACATAAAAAACTTTATTTGTTTATATTATTATTATAATCTCAATTTTTTAAATAATCTTTAAATACAACTAAATTATAATATTGTAATAAAAAAATATTTGAGAGATTACTAATAATAAATCTGGTGTAAACGTCCGGACATATATCCAGAGAAAAGTTTCTTCGATGAAAAGGTAGATTTGATTTAAAAAAATGACATTCAAATCAAATAAATTTTTTTCTTTAATCGTATAGCAAAGAAATTTCTTTGAATCAAAGAAACCTTTCTCTAGGTATAAGTACATGTTCGGTCTGAACGTTTATCTTGTTCAAACGTTGAAAGAAAGCGAAGATGCTGAGTATCAAAAGTGCAAACAACGCGAACAAATTTATTTATCGAAGCTGTCGTACACTCAGCGACATGTACCATCAAACTGAGCATCTCTCTCATTACAACCAAAACCAACAACATTAAACCCACTACGATCTGTCGAATGTTATTGCGGCGTTGGACCAAAGCAGAGCATTACTCAGACTTGGTTGGCATGTCATCAAAGTTTTCCGTATAGTGACATCAAATAAAGTCATCTGAGAACGAACGGTCTCAATCCGTCTCGCACCGGAATCGCTGTTTGAAATTATATGTTACTAACGATGTTCCGCGCGGGCTTTCTAAACGATGGTATTCTTAAATTGAAGTCTCGGCTGGATTCAGCTTGAAGAATGTGTTTTGTTCACGTCACTCTGATCCTCCAATGACACCGCGGCCAAGAGAGTACGGTCTTTTTCCACGTGTCGCATAAAGGCCGAGAGAAAAACAGCGGCGCATGAAATATCTCCATTCGACAGACGCGCGAGGCTCAATATTTTACAGGCGGATCCACGTGAAATAATTGGGACGCGTTAACAATGGACTCGGTCCATCCTTCCTACTTTTTTTTTTGTTCGTTTGTCTTGTTTTTGTTTCCTCCCCGCCCGTGTTTTTTTCCCTACCCCCTTTTTTTCCATTTCGACGCGTCGCGATCGAAAAGTTAATAGATACGTGAAATGGCGCGCGATATTCGTTACAGTACCGCGCCGATTTTATTTGTAACTCGAAAATTCGCTGTTTCATAAAACGAGATTCGTAGATATGTACGTACCTGAAGCCGCGCGCTCTGGCCGGAAAATATTTTTTTCCGTGACAGTTCCGCGGGAATGATAAAAAAAAAGAAGAGTAGAAAAAAAGAGGGAGAAAGGGGACGGCTGGTGATAATCAATTGAAAAATGATTTCGAGTGGCGTAACGGACCGATCGCCGCGTCATAAATCTTGAAACCTAGCGATTAAGCAGATATGTCCACCTGCCAAAGCGAATATTCACAATTTTTTTATATACGGGGACGAATCCGGAATACAATTACGTGCGTGTATCGAAGCGTGCAGCTTGGCAATGTTATATCTAATGTGACCGTTGTCTAAGCATTGCTCGACCATGATGCTGATTGGCAACTGAATATTCAAATACGATAAAAATGAATTTAAATAAATAAATACGTAAATTAACAGACATATTTATTTTTACATATCTCATATTCGCTGAAATTGCAATTTTCGTAATTCTATATTCAGATATTATCGTTACCTGAGGATAACAGAATAATTGTTAGCTTTATATCTGTTTCCGTCACCGTGATCTTTATTAATATTTTGTAAATTATTCAACAATTACTTTTCATTCGGATTATAAAAGTAAAAAGATAATTTCACCTGAATGAAAATGCTTCACGAAAAAATAACAAACATGCGAAACGTTTATTGGTGAAAAATAATTTCTTCCCTGCACGAGAAAGGCGCAGATTGGAAAGGTATTTAATAAACGAGTAGTTACGAATTTATAGATGTTGAATATTCATTCGTATCCTCTTCTGTGGAGTGTTTAATATTTGGTAAAATAATTTAAGTCAGTATTTTAATTATTGACCCAGGAGAGAGAATATTTCACATGAGGAATATTCTCCGGACAAAGAAATTATGTATCGTGCAGGTGGTCCGCGGGCTCGAAACTATCAGAGAACAAATTAATTTCAGCCTCGCACGCCTTTCGTCGGAAAGCCCTACGTGTCCTGCGTGTTCCGCCTCTTCGATCTGTCATAATAATAGTTACCCAAATCTGATCCTAATTGAACTTTAATTAAATAATTCTCCTACCTGTTTATCAAGAGAAAAGAAGAGAAAACGTGAACGAAAAGATATGTAAATCTGAATCACACAAACGCGCAATTAATGCGCATACAAAATTCAAATTCTCAGTTTTTTTAAAGATCCGCTTAAATCAACATCTATCAATCGTTCTATTACTCCTTCATTTTCAAAGGATAGTATCAAATGAGTGCGAATAAAATAGGAATAAAAAGAATAAAAAGAAAAACTTTATATCGCAAAATCTATTCCTATTTCTATCTGTATAAATTAATTTAATGTTACAATCTAATGCAATTAACGAGTCGTTTGTAAAGAATAAAATATTTACCAATATTACAAATTTATTTAAAAATTCGTATAAAAATTGGAGTATATAAAAAATATATTTGATATACTCTTTTATATTTGAGAGTAGATTTTCTCGCCTTCAAAAATCTATTTTTCCAACAATAATAAAATATTTAGATTTATCTATTGCACCGTTTGGTTATTTGTATGTACACGTTTTATTTAAATAAAAAAATTTTCAAATTGGTAGATTTATTTCACATACACACACACAAAAAAACACATACAAATGAAACCCTTTTTCTTTATTCTATTTTCTTTAGTTAGGAACTTCGATTTCGTTATCGCTTGCACGGCACAAGATTGGTCATGTCTCGGAGAGACATCAAGGTGGTCTACGTTCGTGACCAGAATTATTAACAAATTAACGTGAAGGCGTTCCGCTGGGAATTAGTTCGTTCTCTCTCATCACGTTGACGAAACGAACCCTTCTCCGTCAAGTCCCTTTTCCATCTATTATTTCTCGTGTGCATAGCGTAAAATAATAACTTTATGACGTTCCAAAATGAAACGGGCCTCGTGAGCGAAAGAAAGGACCGTGGGATAAGGAGAGGTCCTGCGAACGTGTAAGATGTTGAGAAGAAATAGTACGAGAAACACAGAGGGAGATAAAAGGTGAGCCGAAGAGAAGAGAAGAGGAGAAGCAGAAAAGGGTGGAAGGAGAGGAATCGTGGTGCGAAACGAAAGAATAGAAACTAAAATAGTCCCCGCGACTCGAAACGAAGGAAAAACTCATTCCGTCTGCTCGCTCGCAGCCCTGAGATGCTCTATTGTGAGACGGCCAACTATTGTGCAGTTCGCGGTAACCACGGACCACCGTCGTTCGTTTCTCGTCCCCCTTCACCCACCGTCGGTCATCTTCTCGTCCTTTCTTTCGAACCTCCGCAGAATCCACCACCTCAGTCGCGAGCACCCTCCGTACATCATTTCTTTTTGTTCCGACGCAGTCGCTCTGCGAAACGATGCGACAGCCCGTCGAAA